CCAATTTCCCTGGAAACATCAACAGACTCTGAAGCTCGCAACGCTAGCGTGGAGCCGAATTCATATCAACCGCCGCAACAATGCAGCAGCGCAGCGCAGCGTGCTGCAGCGCGGGGCCGTGAAACACCGCCCAGGGCTATCCATGTGTCAGGGCAATCCAACCCACGTGATGGGCTCGGCCCCAGCGGAGCATGAGGTCCAGGACTCCCGCCCAGGCCCCCTGTCTCCCCCTAATTCCTATCATCCTTCCCACTCTGAAATCGACCGAAAGAGCCCAACCTAACACAACAATCAGCTCGTTTACCGCTATGTCTGAATAATATTGTTAATTTAATTAAGGTCAACGGCTTAGCATGTAAATAACAACAACTGCTACCATCGGTATTATGAGAAAACCAATTGCTTTTCCACAACCACTTAAAAGTTTTTAGCTTAAAACTTGCATGAAATTAATTTTACCAGCCTCATGTTCCTCTTATCAAAACGCTTCGATTGAATCAAAAGTTGATCTTTAACCCTCGCCGGACCTATTGGTTTTCTACATACGCGCCGGCCGAGGGGGAGGGGGGCGGGTACGACCCCCCTCGCCGTTTCGCCCCTGGTGGAGCTAGCGCGTCGCGGAAAAAAAACGAGCGTGTGCGCCGTTACGAGACGCAGAGATTGGTACCCAATTCTAAGGTCCTAGGTCAACCGGTGACCTCTGAGGTCAGGTCAAGTGCCCCAAGGTATGGTTCAGTTTTTGGTGAATAACTTCGCAAAAAACGGCCACAGAGCCGCGATTTTGGCAGCATCGTATTCGCCTTGCTCAGGCGCGTCGAATGATATACTTTTTGTTCGGGTCGGGTCAACTTAGGGTGTTGATCTCAGGTCAAGGTCAGGTCAGCACCCCCAGGTCACGAAGCTGGTCGAAAGAGGTCATTTCGCATATCATTCGATTCGGCAGGTATTCCTGAGTTCATTGGTGGCTTTCCCGACTCGCTAGCTCGATTTGATCGGGAGTTATTGACGAAAAACTAATATGACCTTGATGACGTCATAAATGACGTCACGCAAGGTCAACATTGCAAAAGTGACGCACCTTACCTTGCAAGGAGTGCATCAAATCACGATTCTGTGTGCTTGAGATAGTTGGATATCGTTCCCGGCGCCAGAATACGAGTTTTCATTTTTCCCCATTGACTTATAATGGTGAGGTCACGAAAATGACCTGACCTCATATGACCTTATGGAAAAACCGAGATGAACAAGTTGTGAGACTCATAATGGATACTAGATCCTGCAAGTTTATTTCCCTGTGACATCTCCTCTGGCAGTGAGGGCGTTGCGAAGTTGCGACATCTGAAGACCGTGCAGAGGTTCATTTATGACGTCATAGGTCAGTGACCTGACCTGACCCAAAAATGCAGTTGGTGTCAAAAGATCCGGTTTGAATCAAAGGTCAGGTATGCCATATTTCAGCTCTCTATCGCCAGGGTGTTCGGAGCTATCGCGAAAAAAACCCTATGGGGGAGGGGGCGGCACCCGCCCCCATAGGGTTTAAAGGGACTATCCCACCTTTAACATGGGGTTTGAGTTGAGATAGCCAAGTTTGCGGCGAGGTTCAGAAACCACTATCTATCTAGGTTGCAACCCCCGCGGCCTCTTGGTGTTGAAGAAATTCGTTCCCTTCATTTGAAAATGGGCCTTGTGCAAGGCCCGATCTTCAACATGGAGCGACCGTTAGTGTGACGTCACCTCGTTTAGTCATTCTGATTTAAATGGGTTTGTTCGTTGAAAAATCGCTTAAAGCTTGGTCTGAACTTTGTTGTGGTGCCTACAGAGTAAAAAGAATCAGCTTTATGACAGTAATTTGGCCTGGGGAAGGAGGTAATTTTGGGCTGTGACGTCACATATTTGAAAGTTTGTGTTTGGAATATGGGAAGCCTAAGATGTTTAATGAAAAATAAATGCCAGAACCGTGTTCCTGGTCATCCAATCTATAAAGTCGGGCTCAATTTAACTGGTTTTAACAACATTTTAGAAGGTGGGATAGTCCCTTTAACCCTCGCCCGTTAACGGCGATCTGCCACCTTCGCCCATGCAGGGGGGGGGGTTGGTGCGACCCCCCCCTTGGCGTTTGAAAACGGAGCGTCGTAGAGCTTAGCGGAAAAGACCAACGGATTGCTCTCGCCGAGATCTCGCGATTGGTGGTATATTTTTTGGTCCTAGGTCAACATTTGACCTACTTTTGACCGGTCAAAGGTCAAATTTTCGGAAAAATAGACTTTTTTTCAACTTTCCGCGGCGATTGCGGCAAAACGGTGGGAGATATCGACTTGAAACCTTCACTATCGTGTTCCTTGATCAATTCTCTATCGTTTGGTATGTCTTTCGTTTCCCTAGCTCTAAAAATGGCGCGTTGGGAGCGCCGGAAGTCGGCAAGGTCACAGTCGGCGGCAGAAATTCGAAAAATCAAAATTTAATTTTTTGAAATCTGATTGTATTTTTGGATTTGGGAGGTCCATTTGCTCCCTATAGAAGCTAATATTGCTGCATATTCCCATTGAGGTGACAAGAATTAGCAAAATAGTGGTTCGGGCGCTTTTCAAAAATAGTACCGGACGCTGTTCCTCTTGTGACGTCATAGCTCCGTGACCTGACCTGACCCGGTCAAGTTTCTTATACCATATGATAGCCAATACTTGCCCCAACATGCATGGGAAGTTTCATCACGATCCATCAACCGATGTCCGTACCACCGGCAGGAAACCTCGGGCGTTGGCACTCAGTTTGTGAAAATCCGGCCGGAGGCTGTTCCCTTTGTGACGTCATAACTCCGTGACCTGACATGACCCGGTCAAATTTTTTTTTATCAAAAGATGCGCAAGGTTTGCCCCATAAGGTACCCAAAATTTGGCGGCGCTGCGCGCCGCCGTTTTTGCACTATTTCCGAAAAACCTCAGGGGGGGTTGCACCAACCCCCCCCCTACATGGGCGAGGGTTAAGACGTCATAGTTGACCTGACCTGAAAACGTGGTTGATGCCAAGTGATCCGGCTTGAATGAAATGTAAGGCATGTGAAATGTCAGCCTTTTATCATCAGTGTGCTTTGAGCTACCGCAAAAAACATGGTGGCGGCATCCATTCTTCTCGGCCGGCGAGGGTTAAACCTAGCTTCGAATTACATATTGCAGATAATGATGCGACCGAAAACAAAGCATTTATCTGTGTCTAGAACGGCCGCTGACTTGTTGGACAACATCCCCAATCTTAATTCGCTAGATGGGAATAACATACTCGGTATGTGATACGTATAGTTATACCCCTCGATTTGCCCTCGCGCTAAGCCTATTCTAATCATCACTGTCGCTTTTTTATCCGAGATGATGTCGCCGCTGAACGGGTTGTTTTGTTTGCTTGCTTGCGTTGAATGGCCATTACGGATTATTGAAGGATTATGATAAAATAGGAATGGGGCAAGGGAGGATATGCACTGCAGGTGTTTAATTTAGATCACAAAGGGATCATTTCCGGCATCGTGCAGAGTCATTATCTTCCCCTCCTCTGCACTGCGGCATCTCTGCGCCCCACACATGGCGTCCTCACTCCACGGCCGGCCGCCGCCAACTGACCCACTCGCCGGGCGCCGCGACCTGACCCGTGTCGCTGCCGCGGCCTGCGCAATAGAGTCGGGGCTGGAATCCGGGGGTTCCGCCGGCCGTCCGCCTCTAGAGCGGAGGACTTTTTTAGTAGACCTACTGTACAATGGAACCACTTTTAGAAAGAAGAGATTTGATGCCCGACTCCTTGCCCCGCTTAGTTTTGACATACTTCCAAAAACATTTACTGTTTTCCTTTAACAGACAACCAAGATTAAGTTTATACTGTTTTTCTGCCTCTCTGTGAGCCTGCTTGACAGATGCTCGAAATTCCTTGTATTTTCTCAGGAGAAAGTCACATCCAAGCCGCCTGGCTTTTTGATGTAACTTTCTCTGCTTGTCATCGAGATGCTTCAGTCTACGATTGTACCAAGGGGGATCTGTATTTACATTAACTGTACGAATAGGTATAAGTCTTTCTACGTTTCTTATAGATTCCTTAAATTTGATCCAGTTATCATCAACTGACCGCGATGTGGATTCCTCACAAAATTGCAAATATTGCTCGTAAAGTAAGTTATTGATGATATTGAAATCTGCTCGATTAAAAAGCTTAATTTTTCTTTTGATCTTTGGCCGTCGCCAAACGTCATTCAGCTCAAACGTAATCGCTAAATGATCGCTAATACCCACACAGTTTGTGACCTTCGTTACAAATTGCGGTTTATTAGTTATAATAAGATCAAGTATATTCCTTGCATTGCCAGCGACTCTAGTTGGTTCTGTAATCATTTGTTCTAAGCCACAATTATTGAGAGTGTCAAGCAATAAATCGTTCTTATGCTGGTACCTTGCCCCGTTGTTGGACGTCATGTAATTCCAGTCGATATCAGGGAGGTTGAAATCTCCCCCTATATAATATTAATTAGGTACGGTATAATTTCTGTTATACAGTCTAGCAATGCTAATCTTCACAGGGAATAGATTCTGTTATACCCTTTGAAGTTAACCTCTTCCCACAAAATACTTTCATGCCCCGTTTTCTTATTTTCGTCCCCAAAGAAAACCCCTTTAACACTCATAGCTTCAGATGTAATAATGGTGTGGCCTGTCTGGCCGTCGCGTGTCGTCGCCGGCAACGGTGGCGCGCGCGCGGTCGACGGGAACCACCGCGTCGTTCGGCAATTAAGAAGCAACTCAGAACTGGCACGGACCAGGGGAATCCGACTGACTAATTAAATCATAGCATCGCGATGGCCAAGGTCGGTGTTGACGCGATGTGATTTCTGCCCAGTGCTCTGAATGTCAAAGTGAAGAAATTCATCCACGCGCGGGTAAACGGCGGGAATAACTATGACTCTCTTAACATCGGAGTGGCGGCTGAAGTGTCGGGGAAACTCGGCACAAGTGCGGACACCCTACCTCCACGTGGTAGCCGCCGGTAACCGTGCTCCGAGGAGCACGGGCCAACAGGGTGACGTACATTCCCCCGAGGGCTGCCAACCCGACGGGGAGTATTTTCTGGTGCTAGTTCTCAAAGAAGCAACCGGTCAGCAGGCAGAAGCGCAAGCTCTGCACCACCGGAAGACGAAATCCTGGCGGCGGGAAAGCCGTCGGCCCCCCGACCAGCGGCGTCTCACCGATGCCCGCACTGTGAACGCGAGTTCACGACCAAGACAGGCCTTGGTCTCCACCGCAGAAGAGCCCACGCGGTAGAGTACCACCAAGCAGCGGCTGCACAACTCGAAGCCCAGACAAAGCCAAGGTGGGATGAAGAGGAGGACAAACTCATGGCAAGGAAGGAGTTGGAGTTGGAAAGAGAGGGGACGAGGTTCATGAACGTGGCACTACTCGAGGAGTTCCCCCACAGGACTCTGGAGGCGATAAAAGGAAGGAGGAAACAAACTCAATATAGGAGAATACGAGAGGGCCTGAGGCGAGTGTCACCTGAGCCGCAGCCTGAGCAAGTGAGACCCAGCCCCAACCGGCAAAGACACAGCCAACGAAACAATGACAATCCGCCGACAAGGCCAGACCGAAGGAACGTATGTACGTCGTACGTACAATGACGAAATACAGGAGGTGCTACAAGGCCTGCCTAAGGCACCGCAAGGAGCGTCATGGAATGAAGACATTCTCGACGAGGCGATCGATGCGGCGGCGGACCCGTCGAGACTGAGAGAACTCCTGGACAAACACGCGGCAGCCATAGCGGGCAAACAAAGGAGAAGACGTAAACCAAAGAGGAGGAAGCAGACATCAGAGACGGGTGAGACCCGGAAGGCAAAGAAAAGGTCGGCCAGACACCGCCAATACATCTGGGTGCAACGACTGTACAGGAAGAACAGGCAAAAAGGGGCGGCCATGATCTTGAATGGAAACTGGGCAGATGCCCACGAAGCAACGGACATTCCGGTCGAAGAGAAGGAGTCCTTCTGGGCAGGCCTCTTCTCCAGGCCAAGTGCGGATGACGACAGACCAGTCAATCCGGTCGACAAACCAGAGGCGCACAAGATCGCCGAACCTGTGACCACCGATGAAATCATTAGAGCAACTAGGGATGTCAAACTCAGTTCGGCACCAGGACCGGATCTACTGACGGTCAGGCTGTTACGTGCCATGCCGGTGAGGATGCTCCGGAAGGTGTTTAACCTATGGCTCCTCGCCGAACATGTCCCGGAAAGCCTACGACATGCGAGAACCACCCTGATACCTAAGGTGGCAAAACCAAACAGCCCAGCACAATACAGACCTATATCGGTGACCTCTGTGGTACTGAGACTCTTCACGAAGATTCTGGCAAGCAGGTGCAGCAAGGAAAGGCCCCTCGATCCACTGCAGAGGGCTTTCATCCAGGCAGATGGATGTGCCGAGAACGTCTCAATACTTGACGCGCTGCTGTGGCGAGCCCGGGCAAGACTGCAGCCGCTGGCCCTAGCATCAGTGGACCTCGCAAAAGCCTTTGATTCAGTATCTCATCATTCAATCACACGAGCTATGAAGCGATTGAGGATACCAGAGAAGGTGATAAACACGGTTGTCTCCTTCTACACGAAGGCAACCACAGAGATCAGACGAGACACAAAGATCCAAGTGAACAATGACGTCAGGCAGGGGGACCCGCTCTCCCCCTACCTATTCAATGCAGTCCTGGACGAAGCAATCCAGAAGCTGAAGGAGGATGCAGGCGATGAGGCGGACCCACCTCCGATACTAGCGTTCGCGGATGACGCGATCATACTAGCGAGAACACCGCGAATGCTGCAGCACCGCATACGGATCTTCGCCGAGACACTGGCGCCAACGGGACTGAAACCCAATGCGGCAAAATGTCATTCCCTGACCATCAAAGTGGATGGCAAACACAAGAAGACGGTGGTGGACAACAACGCCAAGTATACAATCGCGGGCCAACCGATACCAACCATGGGGCCCACCGACAGTATAAAATACCTGGGCGTGGAGATCAGCGCCTCCGGCGTGCTCATGTCGGCTGGAAAGAGACTCCACAAACAACTAACAGAGACAGACCGAGCGCCTCTCAAACCGCAACAGCGGCTGTTCATCCTGAAGAGGCACATCATACCCGGGATGACACACACACTCGTCCTAGGGAAGACGAATATCACCAAGTTGAAGGCCATGGACATCACCATCCGCACCATGACCAGGAAATGGCTGCACATACCGAAGGACACCCCGGTGGGCTTCTTCCACGCAGCGCTGGAAGACGGGGGTCTCGACATCCCGGCCCTAGTCGATACCATCCCTCGGCTAGTGAAGAATAGGCTTGCAAAACTCAATGACAGTGACCACCCGAACATCAAGTTGGTCACCCAATCAGGATACCTGAGTCACCGCGGCGGAGTGGCGAGCGGGGCCATGACGGCTGACGAGAACAGAAGGAAACGCGCCCAGCAGCTGCTCTCGTCAGTTGACGGGAGAGGACTGCACGCGGCGAAGAACTGCCCAGCCTCCAACCGCTGGATAGATCAAGGTGGTCATGTGCAGACAGGAACCGGATTTGTGGGATCCATCCTAGTGAGGGGAAACCTCCTATCCACGGCCGTAAGACGGAGCAGAGGAAGAGGTGGTGGTACGCCGCCGAACTGCGACGCCGGCTGCGGCAAGCGTGAGAGCCTGGCGCATATAAGCCAGACGTGCATACGCACCCACGGAGGGAGAGTTCGCCGCCATGACAAGATCGCCAAATACACGGCTGAGATCCTGCGGAAACAGCACTGGAAGGTCCTCGAAGAGCCGAGGATCCAGACCGCAGGTCTACGGAAACCGGACATTGTGGCGTCAAAGGGCCCGGTCACCAAGGTCATTGACGCCCAAGTCCTGGCGGATAACGCAAACCTGGAGACGCAGCACAAGAAGAAGGCCGACTTCTACGACACCGACGACATCAAGACATGGATCAAGACGGAGACCACGAACCAGAACCAAGCGATCAGCTATACCACCATCACTCTCAACTGGCGCGGAAACTGGTCGCGGACTTCAGCAGCTGATCTCCAAGAACTCGGAATGCACAGCAAGAACCTAACGAAGATATCAACGATGACGCTGGAGGAAACCGCGTGGATGCACAGAGCCTTCAGACGGACAACGGTGGGTCGTCGCGGCCGGGGGGTCGCGAGTGACGCTCACGGCCGATGACGCGGCCGACCCGCATCTGGGGACTCCCCCGGGGAGTATAACCCGGGAAAACTACGTCAGCCATCGGGCTGATCTTGTGATAAATGTCTTGTGTAATGTGTCCTATGTCCGTTGTGTATGAAAATAAAAATTTTAAAAAAAATCGGAGCGGTCGGTGAGGTTAAATACCTGGGCCTCCAGTTTGACCACACAGGTATCAAACCGGCAACCGGAGAGACGGTGCTTCGCCAGCTTGGTGAACTGACGCATGCACCCCTCAAGCCGGAGCAGAGAATGTACTTCCTGCGAACCAACATCATCCCGGGCGCCTTACACACCTTGGTGCTTGGGAAATGCAGGAGTACAAAGCTGAAACGACTCGACCAGTCGATCCGAAAGAGCGTCCGTCCTTGGCTCCACCTGCCTCCGGACGCCTCGGATTCGTTCATCCATGCGCACGTGCGAGATGGTGGTCTCGGGGTACCGGAGCTCCGAGTAACGATCCCGCTAATGAGGTACGATCGAGCCAGTCGTATCCTCAACAGCAGTTACGAGAGTGTACGTGAGCTCGCAGGAGGACCCTACATCGGGGAACTCCTGCACCAGAGCGAGCCCGTCACCCGTAATGGAGTTCGACTCGACTCCAAAGCGGCCATTCGGCGGAATCATCGCGGCACACTGCTGCGAACCGTCGATGGACGCGGCCTCGAAGCCGCTGCTGGCGTCCCACACGTCAATGACTGGATCCGAGCGTCTAAGCCCCCTCTGCGGGGCTGTCACTTTGTCGGTGCCGTCAAGGTGCGCAGCAACCTCTTGTACACGGCCCAACGGGCATCCAGGGCCAACACAGAGGGCGGCCGGGCCACCTGCGATGCGGGGTGCTCCGCGCTGGAGACCCTTGCCCACATATCGCAGGTGCGTCATCGAACGGCCGCACCGCGCACCGCCAGGCACAATCGGGTTCTGGACCTGGCGGCCAAGTTCCTCAAGGACCGCGGGGCGTCGGCGCTGATCAAGGAGCCGACGATCAACACCCCCGCGGGCCTGAGAAAACCAGACCTCCTGGTCAAGATCCGAGGACAAGTGGCAGTCCTCGACGCCCAGATCGTGGCTGACAACGGCGACCTCGATGCCGCAGACCAGCGGAAGCGGGCGTATTATGATACGCCCGTCATCCGAGACGACCGAGAGTACGCCGGCCACTCTCTGGGTGTCGCGCCCGAAAGTGTCCGTTTCGGATCAGTGACGCTCAACTGGCGCGGCGCCTTTTCCAAGGCCTCGGCCGAGACCCTGACGGATCTCGGCCTTGGCCCCCGCCATCTCGAGCTCCTCTCCATTCGGACGCTTGAGGGCACTCACCAAGTCTACAAGATCTTCCGTAACTCCACCGCGACTGCAAGCGGTGTTGAGGGAAGGAGGACTTGTAGACCGCCAATGACCCGACAAGGGATCGGGTAGGCAAAGAGACTGAACAAGATCTGGACCTATGGACGCCATAAGCCGTTTCAAGGACTTCCCAAGGCGCGATACGGATGGATCGAGACGACCGGCAGAGGTGTTGCGCGTTGGCGGGCGTGGGGGGGGGGGGGGCGCCGCCGACAGCAAGATGACGGCGGAAGCCCGAGGCGCCCCCGCGCTCTCCGCCCGAAGTCGTAGAGCCCCGCGACTCTAAAGAAAGGGGCAAATATGTGATAGCGCCTGCGGCGCCCAGTGTCCCGTGTTTAATGTTAATGGCGGCGCCTCGGCGCCGCCATCCGTAATGTGTATGCATGTCAGCACCCGTTTTGAAAATTCTGAAAAATATACTCTAAGTAGCCAAATGCCTCGTCATCTAATTAGTG